CTTTTCTCAAAAAATTTAAGAAAATTTTACATTCATTTTACCTAAAAATTTTAAGTGGTGATTGATTTTTCTAAATTATTAAAGGAAGGAAAATAAGGATTATGTCTCTCATTCTCATTTCCTTAATCAGGCTATTGTACTTTTGAATCAAAAACTATATAATTTGAGAATTGGACCTTGAAATTAAATCTTCTTTATCATCTTACATCTCTTCTATCTCATAGGAATCTTTTGCAAGTTGATTAATCCACTTCATATTTTTTTTAATCAAGTTGTTTATTTTTATCATTGGATTAAGTTTATGTTTAGTCTTTAAAGATTAAGAAAGAAATTAAAGTTACAAAAATAAAAAGAGGCATAAAATAATTCCAAAATAAAAATATGCGTACTATACACCAAAATTGAAAGATGCACAAATGTGTATCAAAAATCAAGATGCGTAGTGTGCTAAAAACTGATAAAGAGACACAAAATGAGACCAAAATAAGTTAACTTACCTTTCTTATATTTTTTAATCTTAGATAACTCATGTGTCTAAATGATACTTTCGATACTTGAGTTTGAAAATTATGATTTCTGACACTATTTTTGCATTGATGTTATACTATATATATTTCATGTAAGAAGATTGAAAAAGACCCTTTTTTTCTAAATTAGATTTTTGTTTAAAAAGGACTTTAACATATAAGAAGCCTGAGCTAGGGTTGATAAAATTCAAATTTCCAACATTTTTAGATGTTAGTGTGGTCAATTCATTTCTTACTATATTTTGAATAAAACCAAGAGGTAGCTTTCTCATTTTGAGAAAATTTGTTAAAATTAATTGATTCTTCTTAAACACTACCACCACCACAACCTGATTATAGTTTATATGATCTTTAGTTTGATATGTATGTTTCATTTTATTTTTATGTGTTTCCATTCTTTTTGATAATGTCAAAGGGGGAGAATCACTACAGGAAAATCATCTATTACCGGCGGATTTTTAGGTGAAAAATTATATATTTTCCGACGAATTTAATAGTTTTCCGGCGGATTTTTAGGGTTTTTTAAAGCCCTCTATTTAATCTCTCTCAAGGCACTTGGTAAGTATCTTTGGCAGACATTATGTTTTTATTCTTCTGGAGAAAACTTGAACAGAGAACTTGAAAAGGAGAGAGTAAAGGGTAAAGTTTAAGAGGGGGAAGATTCTTGAAGGGGGTTTCAAGGGAGTGTGGAGGGGATTTCACATGGTTGCTCCGGAAAGCTTGCACCTTAGTACCATCAGATTCAAGGTTCATCTTGAGGGAAGTTTTGGGAAGAAGAAGATCTCTTTGGTGTCAAAGGACCCGACTACTCTGCTACATCAGGGAAGGTGAACGGGATTCGTGGTTCTCTTCTATCTCCTTGAGGGAGAAAAAGGAGTCAAGGTTCTCTACCTGTGAAAGGATTTTTGGTTCTCTGCCTGTGAAAGGATTTTCGGTCCTCTGCCACACCATGTTAGTGGAAAGATTATGTAAGGGATTCTCTGCCTTGTTGTGAGGGCAAAAAAAGAGACACTAAAAGGTTTTAGTGGAATACTCAGAGGGTGCCTCTAGGGAATGGATGTAGGTCAGGTTGGACCGAACCACTATAAATCTTGTGTGTTCTTTTCTTTTATTATTTTTGCATTTATTTTTCTTATGATTAACTGCGTGGGTGAAAATTTTGATTTATCTTTTTATTGTGAATTTAATTTGTTTATGTATCAAGTTATAAAAAGATTTTTCTTCATCATTAAAGAATTTTTTTAAATATCAATTAACCCCCCCCCCCCCCCCTCTTGATTAGACTCGGGGCTAGTTCTTTAGGGTTTCATAACCCTCATAATCTTTCATATCAAGCCTTCTTATTTAACATCATAATGTATTGATTTATGTATCAAAAAGATAGTTATCAAAATTTGTCAAAGTATTGTAATATACAATAACAATAATAACAAAAACTAAAAGACTTTATCCAATTACGTGGGGATGAATACATGAATCTTTTTTCTCCATTATGTTTTGTTAAGAGTCAAATTTTCATTTAAATCTAATAACAAAATGTCACTTTTGTTATTTTCTAATCAAATCATTTTAGGTCTATCTTTACCTTTCTTAACATTAGTCAAATCTAATACATATACTCTCCTAACATGGCCATCATAAGGTTGAAGTTTTATGTGTCCACATCCTATAAGACTACTCTCTTTAATCTTATTTTCCATTGGAGCTACTCTAACCTTTTCATATATATACTTATTTTACATTCTATCATTAAAAGTGAAGCCACTCATACACTTAAGCATCATTAACTCGTCAACACATAACATAATTTTATGTTTCTCTTTTAATAGCCAACATTTTGTGCCATCATCTTAAAGAAATAAGAAAATTCCATAGTTGTGGCAAGGAGGGAAAAATACTGGAAACTAATAGTCTCATAGAAGGAAGAAGTTCTCTACAATCTGCAACGGGCAAAGAGATTATTATTGAGGAGCATTTCATGAGAAATATGTAGAAGGACGAGGATATGGGTACCAAAATTCATTCTTGGATGAGGAAGCATAACTAGAAAACACATAAAGGGAAGAAAATGGTACCAACATCAAAAGAGGAATCACAAAAGAGAGGTGAAGTAGAGTGTGACATCAAAGGAATAGAGGATCTAGTAATGACACTTAAGTGGAGTTCAATGTGTGCTTAGCTTTACTTTCCTTTTCCAATTAAATGGAAAAAAATGAAAGTGTAGCTTAATAGAGCTAGTATAATTGCACAAAATAGTGTTTGTCTTGCAAATAAAAAATTAACTACTTTTCCTTTTCCCATTGAATGGAAAAAAAAAGTAAAGGGTAGCTTAATTGAGCTTGTAAAATTGCACAATATAGTGTTTTTCTTATGTAACCTAACCTAATTCATAAAATTGAATTAACATATGGTTGTCATTTTCCGCATCACTTAATGATTGGTTCTTCCTTCTTGTTTTTCTTTGATAGTCTATGACTCAATTCCCATTAGGCATTAATATATTTTATCTTCTTACCCCTATTTATCTATATCTCTTAAAATTTTCTTGTACACCAATTACATCTTTTATGTTAAAAATATCAAAATCAAAATAATCTACTATGATCATCATATTCATTGGCCATCTCACCATAAATTTAGCATTACAGAAAAATGGTTCACTAATAGCCCTTCTTTAAATTCTAGTATAATAATGCTTGCAACAAGTAAAAACACTCATTCCTTTTCACCAATACAAAGATAAGCATTTAGCTTCCATCGAAGGCATTACTTTGTAGCATTCTTTCAAACTCTCGATCTTATTTTTGGTTAATTACCTTAGAGTGAGTCAAACAACAAGTTGCAACAAGTGGTTGTGTCCATAATTATTGAATGGATGGGTTATCACAAAAATAATCTAGGTAGCATATACTTATAATACATTCATAGATATTTATCAAGTACCTAGTAAATCATGACAAAAGAACTCACCCTCAAAGGCTAGCCAACAGTGGAACTCAATTAACAATCGTAGAGGCACTACTCGCTTGAAACTCAGATGAGAACATGCTCATTGTGATTAACAAGTGCAACTCACCCGAACCCATGAAGGAGCTATCCCTTTCATGGGACAGATTGAAGATTTGTCATAGAGCTAGCTCAACATTTGTTGCATGCCTTGACCATAATCTGAGTCAATTGCTCTCTTGAAAGCTTGTCAAGCTCAACTATACAAAAGTGCTTATTCAAGGGACCCTCAGATCATCTGGCCACAACATTTTGAAACCACTCTATTCCTACAACAAAATATCACTCATCCTCTCAAGTGACTCGAGATATCTCATACAAATCATTCGCAACATCAGCAAATCTAATGGTCACAAGGCCTCTCTTCCCATCACTCGCCCATAGACTTTCCCCTACCTTCTCGAAACTACTGAGCTTACCCAAAGACCACTCACCTGAGTCCATCTTGCCTTGCCTTCTTTGGTCCAGTTAGAGGATGACATATGTCTAGGACAGTCCATGTAATGTTGTACAGATATTCTATGTAATGCTATGCTTTTTCTCTTTTCTATATAGTCATTCCTATAGCCTTCAGAACCATATGAATAAGAGGTGTTGAAGAGCATTTTGAGTTTTTTTTTTTTCTAGATTTTTAGCTAATTTAGTGGATTTCATGTTGTTTGAAACTCATAGCTTTCTTGAGCTTTTTTTACAACTTATCGCTCTCTCTTTCTTCCTACCCTCCATTCCCACACAAGTTTTTTTTTCCCACACAAATTCTAGCTCACTAGGTCACAAAATAGGTTTGCTAGTAAAGTCACCAACAGACAATTAGATGTTAGTATGTGTTGTCAAATGACATCCTCTTTTCAAATCTATGATCTAGAATGCAACCCATCTTTATATGTTGATTGAGAGCTTAAGCTTCCAAATACGAGATTTTGAGTTTGAAACTTGCATATATGGTATGTATGAGTTTGCGATTTAGTTCGTTCACAGTTCCACCAAAAAAACCCAGATTTACCATGGCACCCACATTGCATGGTCAACAACCAAGTTAACCTAATATTATTCTAGACTTTGCAAAGCATACAATCTTACCGTGATAAAAAAAAAATAAAATAAAAGTTTTATTTGGGACGGCTTTCTTATTGCTTAAAATAATTTTTTAGTAAAAAATAATTTTTGTTTACTAAAAAGCTACATTAACTAGTTAAGAAGCCCTCCCAAACGGAGCCAAAATGCACGACCCCAATATACCAACGTTACTTAGTTTCAGAAGATTTAAACTTTCATCAACTCATCTGAAGATGAAAGATTGTTCAAAACCTTGTGCGTGCTTGCTTTAGAAAACTGAAGGTAAAGATTAATTTGTCAAGTGCAAGCGGTTCAGTAACCCCGAACACATTATCTACAAGTTTTAATACTGCGATGAAAAACACCTGGCAATAGTATCTATAACTAATAAATATTGCCGTAAAAGCCTTCTGCAACATTTTACTCGGACACATCATTTCTTATTAGATTGGAAGTACCAGTTTTCAGTTCTCATTCAAACAATTACGAAAATAATAATCACCAAAACACAATCTTATATATAACAACAGTACAACACTAGCATTTGATCCTACTCTCACTGAGAAAAAAATCTTACAGGATTGAAGAAGAATGAATGAATAAAGTTTCATGTTCTTCAAGTGAGACTGGTGTCTGATTTCTGAGAATTTTTAGATGGTGAATTATCTCCTCTGAAAGGACTGCGCCCAAATAAGCTAAGATTTTCTATCTTTCTTGCAATAGAATTCAACAATTTCTGAGAGCTGGAATTCTTGAGGCCTTGTTTCATGCAGGAATGACCTCTCTCAAGATCATTAAGCCGGACTCGCATCCGTGCAAGCTCAAGCTTTAGCTCTCGGTTCTCTCTTCTGAGAGATATATAGTTATCTCGAGGAGAAGTGACTCCACTAACCATGCAGCTTCCTACTCGCTGGGACTGATGGGATAACTTCTGCTTGTCATCAAGGTGAGAGCAACCTAGAGCGTTTCCGAGTCTCATCTGTTCTATGTAGAGCAGCTGCACTGTTGCCTGAAGAGGGAGGCGTTCATTCTGAGAAGCATGAGAACTAGCTTCCTCGGAGAGCTTCTGGAAATCAACTATTTTGCAAAGTCTTCTCCTTTCCAAATCCGACAGTTCTTTATGAACCTGGAAAGACAAGACAAATATGAAACGAATCAATAAATATCAATTTATAGAAGCACGAATAGAAAAATCACTTCAAAGTTATAACAATTGGGAATATAGCACTTTCTAAATCATATCATTTCCTAGCTCCTTGTATAATTCGCTGGTTCAGTATCAATTGGCCGCTGGTGGAAAAGCCAACATATATTTAATAAGGATAAAAAGAAATAGAAAGAGAGAGTGGTATGGAAAAAAAATAGAGGGAAAAAGGAAGAAGGACAAAGAAAATAAGAGGGAGAGAAAGAAAAGTAGAGGAAAAGAGTTAGAGAAGCAGATAGGGTGAGGGATAGAAAGAGAACGAAATAGTGAGGGAGGAAGAGAGGAGAGACAGAGGAAGAGAGAAGGAGAGGGAGTAAGGAGAGAGGGGGATAAGAATAATGGCTAGCTCCGACGTCTGTGACAAGCGAGGAAGTGGTAGTAGCTGCAAATTTACCCATCTCACTAGCTCCTTGTACCCTCCAAGCCCTGCTAGCACTATCGATGTCTTCTCCAAGTGAACCTCGGCATGGCTCTTGGCTTTACACTGTTGATATTATCTACCTCATGACCTATTTTAGATATTTTAATGATAACAAATATATGCTTAGATGTTCTAATGTGTGTGCTAAGTATTTCAGGTGTAATGATTTCATGGATGTACATAGAAATTACTTATGGGATTTACATTGCACAACTCAAGTTCAATCAAATTTTGAGCTTCAGATGGACCAAGATGGACAACTTGAAGGCTTTTATATTATCGTAGGAGTATGTTAGTGGTCCATTAATATTTACTTGCATGGTTTGATTTGCTCACAATCTAAATATCTATTAAAATAATTTATAAATTAATCTTGATAAGGAAATCTATAAGATTCCTTTATTAAATAATTTTTATAACCTTCATTGATTATATAATAATTATCAAATATGGAATGATATATAGTTAGAGAAATTAAAGGTAATAAGCTTATGTAGTAAAAATTTTATTATTTATTCATTTTAAATTTACTTTTTTCACATCAATTTATTGTTATTTGATTAATTTTATAAATTACATCATATTATTAGAGAAATTAAAGGTAACAAGCTTATAAGTACCCCCGAGCGGGGGAAAAGCAAACTGTCTTTTTAAACAGGTACCGTCAAAGACCCCATACATGGGTTTATTGCGAGTGATGAGAATGAAGATTACGGCCGTGGTGTCCTCGTCCGACGACCCCTACCATACACGCCTTTATTGCGTGTGGTGGGAATGCCCAGTTTCTCAAAGTTTCTCCTAGATGGGGGAGACGCCGGGAGGCTGACGAAATTTCGGGTGAACATACAATCGCACTTAGACCTGATCTGAACTCAAAAAAACAACAGTGGACTCGGACTTGTGAACTTTGATACAATAAGCTCAAATCGAAATGAATTCAAACTCAAATAAAAAATGACTTGAAAAAGAAAATGATCCTGGACATTTGAACTCAAACAAAAACTTGAGTTGGACTACATATGACTTGAACAAGATTTTGGACACAAAGAATTTTGACATTGAACTTGAACTCAAATCCACAATGAACTCAAACGAGCTTCGCTTGAATGCAAATAACAAAGATTTGAACTTGAGCTAAATGAAATGATAAGAGAACTTAAGTGAATAACAGAAGGCCTAAATTGAATATTAAGTGAACTACAACGAACTTAACGTGGACTTGAATGAGTCATACAGCATCCAACTTGAATGAATTATAAGAAACAAGCTCAAAATAAAGATGGAAGACCTATCCAAATCTCATCCAAACAAGGACTTGTGCAAAAATTCATTACAAGCTTTGGCATAAAGTTTATTTGAGTAAAAATATTCAGCCTATAATAACCATCTCAATGTGAGTGAAGGGATTGGTATCAAGCCCATCGTGTATCTTGTGAACTATCTTTGAGGACAAAAGTTTACAAGTAGGTTTGAACTACCTTTGAAGACAAAGGATTTGCAAATAAAATTTGTGCACAAACAACAGAAGACAATGAGAGATACGACTTGACTATGAAGTCATGATATGAGGACTTTGGATCATTGATTTGTGATATTGGATTTGACTTATCCATAAGCAACAACAAACATGAATTGCAGGAGATGTGATAACCTACCTTTAAGTCATCATGCAAGATCTAAATGAAGATGTCAAAAGTTGTGATCATTCGAATGCATCCAAAAGAACATCTTATGAACCATATAAAAATGATGAGGGTTGATGTGTATATCAATCATATGAGAAAATATGATTGTCCTCTTGCAAATAAAAGAAATTGATATATATAATTGTGGGTTCGCAAGCAAGCGTCAACATGGATATTCCCAAGTTTATCATACATGTTGCAAGTATAATATGATCTTTAAGTAAAGAAGGTCATGGGATAAAAAGCTTGATCATAGAGCCATAGTACGGGGCCTTTAGATCATGATAACCCACTCGCAATGTTGAACATGCCCCATCCCAAATGACGATCAACGAGAATCATCATTTCAATTGGATGGCAAATATTAACGATTAACGATGTCAAGTTAATCTTGTATTTGTATGCTGCAACCAACCTGGGAGGATGAAGAATTTTCATATGTAATCTTAGAAGACAGATTGATCATGGAATCATAGAAATATGACTCATTTATAATTGACAGCTAATAAGAAAGATAGAAATGTGATACTCTATCTACAAATGACAACGAAAGTTGAACCATACGACAATAGTTGAACTACAAGTGTGATGAAATCCCTTCAATTAGCTATCTTATAAGTATGTGTGGAAACTCCTATGGGTATAGGAAGTTATGCAACGAATAAAACATATTGTAATCGACGTTAAGTAAATTGTGAATGAGCATAATAGCCTATTTGCAAGCAATGAAGATTACGAATGCACCTATCGAGTACGACATAGGACCGCAGTGCAGATTTATGTAGCAATGCTCCACAAGCAACATTAAAATACAAGCAGATACATTCAACCTTATCAGTAAAGAAATTGGAATTGACATCAATCCTCATATCACTCAAGCAAGAAAACATGATAGCTCCTATTACATCTATGTGCAACACTAATAAAAAATCATAGATGTCATAAAAAATTATGGTGTGCCCACAAGTGACTATAGAAGGTCTATCATGCACATAGTGATGCCGGTTATGGCCAAAGTCAATACGCTCTTTAGTGGCATCAAACCCTTGAGATATGAATCAATAGGATATAATCGGTAGGGCACAAAGCCCTATGTTAGCTAAGGTGGATTCAAATTTGTCCCCTTAGACAAACATTCACCCCGGGTCTACAAGGTCCCTTTGGACGAAGCAACCAATGGCTGCCGACAAAGATCCTTCTTTCAGGTTGGGTCGAATACCTCCTCTGACTAAGTAGACTAGGGACCATGATGGCCCGAGACGACGGAACCATGAGATCTTGATCGGGTCTATCATACATTCCCCAACCATCTGCTTTAAGTACAAGATGGTGAAATTTCCAATTTTAAATATTAAATCTTCTAACTTTCCAAATTTCCAAATCCAAGCCCAATGCTGCTACTATATGCCAGATAACATGTATTTATATATATATCTGATTGACGACTAGCCTTAATTGAAAGTTCTCTCTCATGATTTGGAGGGGTAATTAACTATAGGGGCTTGCGCCTATAGGAAACCAGAACTCAGATCATAAAGTCCTCACAAAATGAGGGCGAAATCTCTGGGTAGTGTCTTATCTACAAACCCATTTGCCTTCCAAAATTTACCCTAGAACTTAAGTTTGTTAAAACTCCCCTCAAAGAAAGCAAAGCGGGCGGATGTTGGGGCCGAATTTTCGGAGCATACAGTGACTAGCCGCTTTATAGCCGTTTGAAACTTATATCTATTTAATACAAATGAATTCTTGATCAAATATAATATTATTAGTTGATAAATTAATATTAGAATAATAGTTTTATTCAAATTTGACTTTACTTATCATTTCCCTTTAAATACCTCTCTTCCTCTTCATATAAGGGCATTTGCAAGATAATTTGAGCATGTATTATTTACATCAAATTGTATTTTTCATTTTCTTGATCTAAGCCATTTGGCTTTGTGATGTTTAAATTGTAATTATATTGGGTTGTACTCACCCGTGTAGGAGAGTAGTTACGTTGTAAAGAACTTTTTTGGTTTAAAGAAGTCAGGTTTGCAAAGCTTTACAAACCTGGGATTAGTGAATTCTAGCCCCAGAGTTGGCTAACGTTGACGTAGGTCAGATTGAAATCTGGGTCGAACCACGTAAAAATATTATGCCTCTTATTTTTATTTCTTGCAAATATATTTCTTTGTATTTTTATAAAAATTATATGATGTCACACCCAAGTTTGACTCACCCTATACCACGAAATGAAGTATAACAGAGAAAGATTTCAACATATCAAACTCCACACTTAACAACAGGAAGCATGTAATATACCTTATTGAACCTCAACATAATTAAAACAAATACAAAGCTAATGACATATGCTTTTGATGATATAATTGCGCTTTAGCTGCTCTTCAGTTATCCTTTAGCTTCCCTTTAGGTGCCCTTTAACTGCTATTTAGTTGCCCTTTACTTACGCTTTATAAATATTTACCCTTCTATGCTTACTAAATCATTTACATTGCTAAAGATTATCCTTTACATAAACAAATTCATACATAAACAAACATATTCATTTAAATAACCAAAATAAACTAGAATACATGTGATCATAACATAATGAAGATGGAGTGCGATAATAAAACATTTATTAATTCTTATAATCTTGTTTGGGTATCTCACCCCGGTATCCCGATTCTTTCTTCTTTTCCTTTTGTAAACAACCTTCACTAAACTTCCTCATTCAACACAACACCTTTACTTCTCTTTCTGTAATACATTTAGCAAACCAATTTCAATAACCCCTTTATTTCAGCAAATCGCAACAGTAACTATTACTTACT